ACCACACACACACACACACACACACACACACACACATACATATATATACACACACACACACACACACAATTATACAACATAAAAATCATCTTTTCAAATCTCCTCCAATGGATGACGGACTGTCTTATTAATTGATACATATTTATGGTACGCGACTTCATTTACCATTATTGAAACAACGTGGCATCGACTACGTGTAAGTGCGTATCGAATCTTTTCATAGGGAGAGATAGCCAAAACAGCGTACTTAAACAGACATTTTGTCTACGTCTTTCTGTCATGAGTCGCGATATACATCTATTTTACACGTAATAAACAATGCCCAACAATTTAAATCTCAAATGTATCAGAGAGGAAGTATTGGTGTCCCAAACATAACTGAATAATTAAAAAGTGAAGAAATTATCAAAATAAGCCTTATTTATAAGGAGCCAAAGACGAAATACTAGCTATGACCATTCTCTACAACTGACGAAAAAAGAGCGAAAACGAACAATCGTGCACAACTTATGGAAGAAGATGTTGAATTTTCTACACGCAGCCATTGAGCAGACATATTAGTAGTCTTGAGAAACTGGCATTAACAACCTTCCACCACAAACAGGGCACTGAGAAGAACCAAAGAGAGAAAACAGAAGAATTTCAGTTGACCGGCTGAACCGACACAACATTATTATGATATCACTCGGTTGGACGAATCGTTATTGACAATTTGAGACCAAAGTGCGATGGTAGACGTTCGCAGATCAATATCCCAGCACACAGACAGACACACGCAGGCATGCAGGCGATTTTGTCTAAATGAAAACATCAACGATAGGACTGTTTCGAAAGCGAAAGGAAAACAAAGTTCCCCGTTTTCGTCTATCCTTGTTGACTCTATTGAAGTGAAACACCTTACTGTACACATATAACGATATTCTGAAGGTGGGGCATATGGGTCCCAGACATGGCACCAAGTCGAATGGAAGCCTTCCAGGAAGAAAGATAAAAATTTAGACCCTTAGAAACGAAATCTACTCTTCCATATCTATATCCAGTTCGTAACCATAAAATACACCAAAACAACAGCCACCACGATTTGCGTTTGTTATTCCCAGAGACAATTTAGTAAAAGATAAATCCTATCCACAAGTTGCGTATAACCGACAATATTCGAGAATTCGAGAAAGCCAAAACATGCGATTATGTTGATGACAATAAGGCGTCTGGAAAAGAGAGAGCCAGCTAACAGGAAGTAGAGAAAAAGTACACAAATGTGAACAGCCAGCAATGCCAAGCTACAGCACATAGGTATGGCGCGCGAAATGCACAAACATCTTTGAAAAGTACATGGCTTTAAAAACGTTTCTTTTATACTCCGTCCCTTATGTATGAGTTCGTGACTGAAAAATCCGAAAGTTGGGGGAAAAGCTAAAAGTAGATTATTCAAAAAGTAAATGTCTTCTCCCTTATCTCAAGAAGATGGGAAAACCACTATCATCCAAACTAAGAGTAGGCTGTAAATATGTTACGCCCTGTTCGACACAATCTATATCATTAGAAGGCGGGAAGCTTCGAACCTCCCAGGTCAGGTTAAACCTGGAGTGTGCCGGATACGTCACAGCAGAACGACAGAGACCAGGTCACATTTCTTCCTCAAGAGGGAACGGAACTCATGCCCTTTTCATCACAGGACAGAGAGAACAACTTTTATACGACAAAAGAGAAACACGTTATCTCAAACAGTTGGAAAGCGGTGAAACGAGCCAGAACACACACTAGAAAAATTCCACCCGGCAGAGCTAGTGAACTATAGCAGAAAACATTTAGTTTCATCTGTTCTACCCGGAACACACAGCACTCAGCACTGTAACGACAGGTACACATAACAGAGAGAGTGGCTTCTTGTGGCTTCTTCCAAGGTTAGCATTAGACACAGTAAACTCTCGCCTAAACCAACTCAGAGAATAGCCAGACGAGTCGCAGAGAAGAGAACCGAGGCAAGGATGAGGATAACAACAACAAAAGCCTCGCTGGTGAAATGTTGCCGACAGCAGACGACTAGGCGAAGTTCTGTACTGTGGAAAAAAAAATCAGACACCAGAGCACGGAAAAGCACAGTGGAATGCAAAACGTGCTCATGAAGCGCGCCATTCACTGCAACGATTCCAGCTCACAGAAATAACATTGAGCAAGGGGAAGCCACTTACTGGGTATTTTACTTCAGGTACGGTAACGAGAATTATTCGGTGAGTCTAACAACATGCACAATATTAACAACCTGCAGGTATATTATTAGAACTAGATCCTGGTAGCCACCATCCACACAGTCCACAAGAATTCCGAACCAACTAATATTAATAATATAACGATGAACCTTCGGTTCGACGGAATGGCTCAAGCGAAGTTGACGGTTTGATGGCAAACAAGATATTATGAAACGAGACTTTCTACTCGAGAAGGGCAGCTCGCTCCGAGGTACACAACAGTTGTCGATCAACCACCATGGTTCCAACAGCGATGGATACTCATTCTTGCACACACGGAGCGACACACACAGACACACAGCCAGAACACTGGATGGGGGAATATTGATCTGTCGATCGACGGGACTGGAAGAATAGACCGGACCGGTTTTAGGGGGGGGGGTGACGGGGGAGAGAGAGAGAAAGAGACAGAGAGAGAGAGAAAGACTAGTTGAGAGATGG